CAAAAGCTGAAGAGGATAATTGCCATCAATTTAAGAACAATGGTGCAGAAGAGGTCAATATTGATCATGCTTCTTTTTCTGAGCGCTTGACCTTAGTAGTCAAGACAATTGGTTGYGGCCGCCGCCTTTGTTTTTTTTTAAAAGGATKGCGGCGGCCAAAAAAACTTACTCCGGTGCAAAAACTAGGTTATTGATAGTAGAATGACTCTTGTTGTCACAATAATGACTGAATGTTTAAGTTAAAAATGAAATAATGTATTTTGGTAAAGGTACTAATTTATTTGCAAAAATTAATATACCGGGGTTTGTACAAATCTACACTAAAAAAATTATCTTTTTGTTTCCTCGGTAAGTCCAGGGCTGTAAGAATTCTTCAAAGTTAGTGGCTACGCGCACTAAAGATAGTGAAGTGAAGTGTAGTGCACCATAGCCAATTGGAAGTAAGACAGTTTACAATGATCCACTCCTGTGGTGGAAAAAGTGCCATGCAAGTTATCCAGTTCTTGCAAGGCTGGCCAAGATCTATCTTCCTGTGCAACCCACTTCAGCCCCACCATCTGGTGAGGGCGTCTTCACCAGCAGCCAAGCTTCCAGACTCCTCCTCTCAGCAAAGGCACTCCTGTTTGGATCCAAAGTATGCAGGTAAAGCATTCTTTGTATCTAAATACTGGGAGTGGTTTGAGAAGCAGGTTGATTTGGCAGAGATTGAGATGGCTGAAGTAGAAGGTGAGGATGATTATGGCTCCGGGAATCACAAATAGACAGTTACGAGTAAGCTCAGTCGTACACTTACATCTACCTACGGTACAGCACATAAAAAGCTCGAAAAAAATTATTTTCYTTCATAGCGTCGTTCCAGAGTTCCGGTCATTCGTGCAAAAACAGGCACGATTGCATTAAAAATAAGAAATTAACATAAAACAAATATCATGATGTAAGAGTAGAATGTTTCGCCGGTTGTGAAATCCAACTTGTGTCTCAAGTCTCACAAAATCAAAAGACAGACAAAAACGAACACAAAATTACAAAATCAATAATAGAATCAAAGAAACTTCAATGAATTTCTTCAGCATTGCCAATATCGTCACTATCTATTTCACTACCGCTACCCTCATCGTTAGCATCCACGGCGTACAAGCTATGGTATCTCCAGCAGTCACCTGCTGCGAAGACAACGGCGGTACCTATCAAATAGTCAATGCCAGCGATGGTCAATTAGGAATCTGTAGCAAGGATGGAATTCATACAAAAGACATCACCTTCATGGAAGAAAACTGCCCTTCTCCAACAGCCAGCCCGTCAACGGAATCCTCGCAAAAAGCAAGGTATGCTGTCTATGCCGTGAACAATTGTGATGCCGAAGTCAGGGCCGACTTTGTTCTCAAACGAAGTGCTCATGGTGGAACGAGAACGAGTCATGTTGAGGTCAAAGAAGGAGAATGCAGCTATGTGGGTCCGACAGACCAAGAGACTGTGCACTATACGAGCGAGGGTAGTTACGTAAGTGGAGGAAATGATTCTTGCAAGATCATCGGAGATTCCCAAAACTCTGATTGCAAGTTGCTGGGCATAGCAACCAACGCATGCGTCATCAATCTTTGTGCTAAGCAATACAATTGAATCCATTCTTCACCGTTCGATATCAACATAAACATAGAAATAAACCTAGAAGACAAATAATATTCGAAACAACTAGCTAAGCCACCAAGCAACCAATGTATTCTTCCTTCATTTTTCTTYATTGTGGATTGAACAACATAATATTAATTCCTTTTAGGAAAATGAATACTATCATTTCTTCACTCTTTTGAAAAACGAGATAGAATATTTGCTTCGATTATCACTTCTTTTTTTCATCTTCGTAATGATCTCGGCAGCTAACTATTTTTATTAAGCTCGACAAACGTCGACATTTGTAGTGTGGTACCGCATCCGTCCTAGCTTCTGAAGCGATAATAGTATGCCAATTTTGCTCATCATTACTACTCAGAGTACTTTCTTTCTTCTCGTCGTCATTTATTTTTTCGCTTCGTATTGTGCCGGCGTATAGGCCTTGACAGAAAGGGCATGTATTGATTCGCTCTTGAGCTCTTCAGAAAAGATCTCGTTGACCAATCGGTGTCTCTTCAAGAGAGGAAGCTTCACAAACGCAGTCGACACGACAGTCACGGTGACCTTTGCTCCTCCATCGCAGCTTCCGAGCACTTCGCATTCTACATGGGAAATCTCTTTTAATGATTCAGCTTCAATGCATTTCGCGCGGATGGAGGCTTCGGTCACGATGCCAGCCATTTTGGAAATTTGATGGTGGTGATACGAAAACGAAACTGATGCAATTGTAAACTGTATCCAATTAGTTTTGATACACAAGGGTACGAGTACGTACGTACGTTASACTAGTTTGCTAGAAAAGCCATCGAGTGATCGACATGCGTTGGTGTTGTTGTTGCACGAAATGAAAGCACTACTGTAATAACTACTGTACTTCGTAGTACGTCTGAATGGCACGAACGGCGTCCAAGTAGGTGAAAACAAAAAATATTAACTCTAACCTTAAAAGTCACGAGCCCCTCTAATTTTTGTTTTATCAGCGGAGTTCGTACTAGTTATTTCGTACCATACGAGGTTCGAAATGGCGACTTAATTTCCGATCGAAAATTCATGAACTAGCCATTGTGAGACAGTAAACACCACAATCACGAATAGCTAGTGAATAACTCACTCTTTATTGTAAACCACGTATTCACGTACACTAAGGAGCCTATCAGTATTTCACAGGTTATGAGCAACAGCCATGAGACCAGTTACCAAGTTATCATATTGGTGAAGATGTTGCHACGGACAATATGGAAGATCCATCATTGCATTCTGCTTCACACACGATCGCTGTCGGAAGTTGCCATTTAATAGGATTTATGAAAAAAAGGAATGGTGATAATGTTGAGTACTACAAATAGTAGAGTTTACTACTACAACAACGAGTGGGGATTATGGCGTTGACTAGAAGTTACAAAAAATTCTGAATCTAAGTTAAATTTATACACATACATCTTGAATTTTGAAGCCATCTTGATTTCCGAAAAGGAATTTCGAGGCACACCACACCGCAGCAGCTAGGTATGTTTAAGCTTCAGCAACACCGGTGATATCATTCATGGCGCTGTAGTTACCGGTCTGTTCCGCAGTAGAAGGGCCCTTTGCCATCGACACAACCTTGGCTGCCGTGTCCTGAACCGCAGATTTAACCGAGACCGCAATATCAGAGACGGCTGGAGGAATACTCAAGGTAATACTAGGTTGGGTGAATTCGGGTTCGTCCTGAAACTCGCCATCAGGTTGCTCCTTTCCAGCTCCACTTCGATGTTTGCAGACGGCCTTTTTGGTAAAGAAGAACACAAGCCCAGCGCCCACCAAGCCTGCTACGACTAGAAGGGCAATGTACTCCTCTGCCAGTTTGAGGCCCTCCGGTTGGTTGCGGAAAAAGCCCGACGCAGTGTTTTTGCTAGTGCTTGAGGACGCCAACTTGGATTCAATGTATTCGCATCCCCGGGTGTCTTGCCCGTAGTAAGAATTGTAGGATTCCATGTTTTGTTCACATCTTGACGTAGCGTCTTCATAAGTACTTCGGCACATCTCGGTGATTTCATTTTCGTAGTTTTCGTTAGTGGTAATGCAATTCATGCACGTGTCAGGAACAAGACCACCACTGGCATAGGGCAACTCCATCCCGTTGTGGCTGCTAGCGAAAGAAGTTGTCGATTCTTGTGCACAGTACTGTTTTGTGTGTCAGAGTTTTGGTTGAGCGTTTGAATGGTGAGAAAAATGTACAGAATAATAATTCGTATCATTCGTCGTCGTAGTTACTTGGTATTTGTTACTTACCTGGTCGCTGAAAGAGGCTAATCGAATATCTTTCCCGTCCTCGGTGCAAGCAACACCAACGTACGAATTGTTATTGTACAAATTGTAGTAATTGTTGTTCCTGTCACCTCCGGCACCCTCGCCTTCCTCTCCCTCAAAGAGTTTGCACTCACGAGTGTACTCCTCTACATTGAATTCCCCATAAGAATAAGAGTAGAACTGCATATTGCTGTTGTAATTGTCCTTGACACTTTCCGTGTAGGCCTGGACAAATGTGTTGATTCCAATGGCGAAGTCTCCAAAGCCGGAATCACATCCCAATGTGTCACTGCCGTCCGAGCCGGTACAGGTATCTTTTGGACAGAGGCGGAAAATCACTGTGCTACTTTCGACCTCTCCTCCTTCGTAGTTGACAGACTGTTCGTTCGGGAGACAAGAAATCATCTTGAGCGAATAATCCGCTAAGAACCACGCTTCCTTCATATCTTGGCCACCTCCACCCCCGGCATTTCCATTATAGTAGCCTTCATAGTTTCCATTGTTGTTTTGCTGCACGCGTCGGGCATTTCGAACGAGGCTATTGGCACTCTTTCTGTTGATCTGGGTGATAGTCATTGTGGTTTTGTTTTAGGAAAAGAAGTACTTTACTTTTTGTACAATTTGGCTTCGTTGAAAAATATCTTTTGGAAGTGAACTTGTGACACGTGCGATATATGTTCAATTGAATTTTTTGTCCTGTCATAGATAGTTAGGGCAATGAGAAAGCAAGAGCAAGAGATATGCTGTATGTTGTAATGCTTAGATCACTCCGTGTGACACATCCTTTCACTGAAGATCCAAGAAAAATTCTGCGAAGTGAAGTTTCAATTTTAGGTCCGCCCGGTGCACATTCAGCGAGTTTTGGTCGCGTATCTATCTTGCCGGGATTAGGAGTTTACGGTTCATGTATCGCGTGGACGTTAGACAGGGCTTTTGAATCATTTGGCGAAAAAAGATATTCTTTATGGGAGTTCATTTCATAGCAGAATTCTTTTGAGGTTATTTTTACGTTATCAATAGTATGGAAAAGAACGGATTCTTTTGGTTCAACCACTGGGTCATTCCAGTTACTGGGTGATTCCCATTAATCTAGATTGATTAGATTTGATAGATGGACAGACGAAAAACGAGGCCTAGTAATAAATACTACATCGGTTCCTAAATAATGGTACATTTTGCCCTAACTTTGTTTTTCCAAAATAATGGTACAATATTACCTTACTAACAGATTTATTAAATGACTGTGTATGGCTGACTGCTGTGTACAGCATGGAAAATGTGCATCGCCATGAATAATTTTTTTGCACATGAAATTAAACAGTCTTTTGTTAAGAACATGACACGAAACAATATAACGCCAATTGGTGTATGGTGCACCTCTTTTGAACAAGAATAACTGCAACGGATACGTGCGTACTGTATCAGAAGTATAC